CAAATATTGCCTTGAAATGACGTCAAAAGGGGAGAAGGGTTTCCTTTTCCAACTTTCTATAAAGTTTTGCCCCTGGAAAAACTGGTATACACCTAGGAATGTTTAAACTGGCTACGGAGAAATAATTTGCATCCACGTTACTTGTTTTTTAACGCCAAAATAGACTCAGAGAGAAAAGGGATGCAAAGTTAATGTCGATTTGTAGTCAAGGATTGAAAAATCTACATGCATCACGTCAAATAATGACGTTGATCATGAATTTTAGCTATATTGAACTCCAAAAAAACAAATATGCTGGCACAATCAAGCGAGGATCTTTCCCAATGTATAAATCCATTTGCAATAATATATGCATTGAAAGCTGCTGTTCATGACATTGTGAAGTCATAAAACAAGACGGGTTAAGTCCTTACTCAGCTCTAGGGAATCTCATCAAAATAAGTGTACGATGTAGAAGAAGCGGACATTGAAAAATAATGATGTTGTCGGACGTCATGAAACTAAGCGGCGACAGCGCCGGCTAGTCGTATAATGTCGTTTTTATTTAATAATGATTTGGGAAATAATGAACGTATCAAGCTAAAATTTTCAACATTTCTTTAACTTTTGTTGTTTTAAGTTCTTTATAAATTTTATAAGCTCAGGCAACATAGTACTAATTTTATAGCCCCAGTCCACGAACTTTTTGATAACCCCTCGTACTTTTGGAAACCTTTTTTGTTGTGCTCTGACTTACTGTTTGTATTGCCGCCATTCCTTTCTTGCACTTCTATTCTCTCTCTCCGTCATATCTTTCACACGTTTTTACCTCTGCTGCTCAGAAACCAGAAGAGCTTATGCGATAGTAATGCGTCCGTCTGTCTGTCTAGCTGTCTGTAAACAATTTTTCAAAATGCTACTAGCTCCTCATACAGTTTTGATCTGATTTCAATATAACTTGGCACACAAGTAGACTAACTAAGATGCATAATTCTGTATATCGGTTCTTGATTTCGATGAACGATGTTGCTGGGGTTTCTAAAAATAGAAATTTCTGTGAAATACATTTAAATTGCTACTCCTCCTACAGTTTTGGTCTGATTTCAATATTACTTGGCACACAAGTAGACTACACTAAGATACATAATTCTATATATCGATTTTTGATTTCGATGAATGATGTTGCCGTGGTTATTAAAAATAGAAATTTCTGTGAAATACTTTAAAAATGCAAATCCAAATACAGTTTTAGTCTGATTATAGTATAATGTTGTATGCAAGTTGTGTACACTGAGGTACATGATCATTATTCTATTTATTGCTACTGTAAAGTTTCAAGTCCCTGCCACTTTTCTCTTTTTTCCCTTTGTTTTAAGTACCAATTAGTAGAGCTACAGTCTCGACGGAGACTTCTGGTTTCACTTTTCTCTTCCTTTGTTTTAGGTACCAACCAGTAGAGCTACAGTCTCGACAGAGACGTATAGTTTCACTTTTCTCTCAATATTTTTTCTGTACTTTTGTTTCTCTTTAAGCAGATATTCCTGCCTTCTTCTTGGAGAGGCATCTCTCTTTTGTCTGTATTTTCTTTATCTTTTTTTCTTTGTCCCCATTTTTATTTATCTTTAAATTAGAAGAAAACTTGCATGTTCAACTGTTTTTACTAAATACTGAACTTTAAACTATTAGTTTTAAAATAATGTTATATTTTTCTGGCAAAGGATTTTTTCCCTACTGAGTTTTTTGACATTTTCTTCAAGCCCATCAAATTTGAAAATCTGCTGTCAACAACTTGCCACCGAGGCTGATAATAAGTATGGAACCCAGAAAGGTTCATACTAAATATTTCTATTTTCATTTGTTTTTTTATATATCAGCAGAACAGGAGAGACAGAGAAATTTGTGGGACACACATTTTAGCTTTGATATTTTAAAAACAGGCATATTTAAAAATTAGTTAGTGGTTGTATGGCATATGTTAAGAATAGTTTTAAGGAATCACTGTCTAGTTAGTTTAGTATGCCAGGGCATCAACGATAGTGGGAAACATGGCATAGTTTGCATATATAACGGGCGCAGCCCGTTATGCATAAATTATCCCATGTTTCCCATTAAAGTGTTTAAAATTGCACATCAGTTGTATCTTGGAAGTCAACTTGACATACGACTAAATTAATTGAAGGTGCATTTAAAATGAAGACAACTTGAAGTCAACTGCTTGTATTCCTAAAATTGTCAGATTTAACAATTTTTTGAAAGCAAAGTCTAAAGTCTTGTGTTAAAGTTCAGTTAAATTGAAAACATTTTATTTTTCTAACTTCTTAAAAATTTGTGATAATCGGGTTCATTTAACACTTAACAATTCAAATTTCTAAAATGATTTTGAGTTATTAGAATGTTAATATATTACAGTCGTTTGGCCAGTTCCGAATTTTGACCAGTTCCGAATAATTATTAATTTAAGAGCTGATAATTGATACATTCAAAGGTGTAAAAATAAATTGATACCGTTGGTAAGAAGGCTTATTTATGAGTGTTTGAATTATGCGAAGTTTTGATTTTTTGCCGTCAGTTCGGTTTCGTTATCGTACTCGAAAGAGTCGCCTCGACGACATTCTTTTAAAATGCAACAATTCTGAATCACCGCGACGTGTAAGCCTGCAGAAAAACCTCTGTAGAGACATAAATTTTTCGCATAAAACAACATTCCAGGTATCAAAAGTAATATGTACTCTAACAAATACTAAGAACTTGTCTAAAATAACTATTTAGAACACTGGAAGATATCGGAATATTTTTGTATTGTTATTTTACTATAGTTCCGAATACCTATTTTAAACACTTATAAATTCATTCCTCGTTGTTTTCTTCATTGTAAACGTGACTTTTTATACTTCAGCTTGAAAAGCAGGGGGAAGGGATAGATAGTGATGTGATGTTTGTCCATTCATCCGTCTGTATGTCCGTCCGTCTGTTTCTACGTCCGTCCGTCTGATACGCTTTGGGGTACCCATTTCTTATCCACAACTCCTCTTCTTCCACTGAATGAAGTTTAATGAGGCTTCTCAGAATTTAATGAGGTTTTCAAAGAATCTTTGTTAAATAGTGCCAAAGTAATTCAAAATTACTTTAACCATTTAATATGTAATTATGGAGAAAAATGAAATAATAACACTTAAACTATTAATACTTGCTTCCTTATTATTATCTCTCAGTTGTTGCCATGGAAACAGATACTTAAGTTTATTATAATTCATCATTATAAAATTTCTTTTATGTGATGAAATGAATTGCTTTGTTGTAAATGTTCCGTAAATGAAACAAGTGCATTTTTGAATCTATGCCAAATATAGTCAGATTCCAATGCTTGGTATTTGAAGGCTGTTTCCATGTAAAACGAGTGGGTTGAACAAAGAAAGATATACTTCATGAGTTACTTGATGACCTCAACATCTACCATGATCAATAAAAAAAAAATTTCAAGAAGGGGCCTAAACTAGCCCTTAACACATAATTATAGGTCTATCAACTTTGGAACGTTTTAGATTTTTAGAAATTCAGAATTAATTTAGATTGTTCAAATATTAAAGTTTCAAATAACCAAAACAATTTCATTGTCAAGAGTTTTTTGTATTTTACTTTAAATATCCAAAATATCAAATTTCCAAAACCGATTTGAAATTTGAATATTTAAAATTCAATATTCTAACTATCCAAAAGCTCATTTGCTTTTGGTGTACACCATCTACACCCTGTGCAGGGCATGTGTAGGTAATTGCACCGAAAATCAATATGGCTGACAATGTTGAGACGGTAAAACTGCAGAATTATTTATTTTTTTTTTTTGTTTATCTGAGTTTACTGTCAAGTATTTGATAGGTTGGTTGTGATGAATTGTGTTAGAGTAATTTAGTGGACCGTGTTTTGTGCATTTTATGGAAAAATGAAACACTTGGTATGTTGTACGATAAAAAATAAGCAAGTTTGGGATGTTTGGGTGATTAATTAACTATATATTTAGACTATAGCTAGATATTTAGTTATAGAGGATTTTATAGGTGGCTATGAAAGAGTTTTATAAAAAAATTCTTCACCTTTCATAAAATGTTTTGTTTTTCAATAAATTTAAAATAATTGTTCACAATCGCAACAAATATATTTTTAAAAATCTTCTGCAAATAGGATTCCCTCAACTAGTTGAGCTACACTACACCCAATTTTACTTGATTGTAAGGTGTAAATCATCTACACCGGGTGAAGTAAGGTGTAGACAAATCAAGCGCGCCCATTATGACAGACTAGGAAATCATGACATTGTATTTTTGATAAATTTTTGTGTCTAATAAAAATTCTCATAGGCTTTGGGGAGGGGGGTACACCATCCATTCGTCAGGTGCCAGTGGTTATAGCTATATATTTACATCCACGGAATATTTTCTCCTTTATTTCTTAAGAAAACCCATTGCGTTAATCACTGCATGCATGAACTACATTACTTTAGGCATGTCGCCTGTACAGATTTCTTGATCAGTGGCTGTTCCATCAATGAAACGTATAAAGACGTTTGCATCATTAATACAATAATTAAAGTTTTTAATCCTTCTTTAGATGATTATTTAAACAGATATAAATATAAACAATAAAATGTCTTTTTTTGTTTGTCATTACTGGAATTAACGGTCGCAGCTATTGCAGAAAAAATTTACATAACCCGCTAACGCGGGTTATGTATTTTTTCTGCAACAGCTGCTTCCGTTAATTCCAGTAACAACAAACAAAGAAAGACATTTTATTGTTTAAATCTACGTATGATTTATCATCTGTATGACATTTTTAAACCATCTTAATAAAGAGTCTGAGAGGGAATATGCAGAACAGAATACTAGTATTTCAGAAGAGAATATTTCCTTATATCATGGGGATATCTTAATCAATAAGGAGAAATGTTTAAATAGTATGCGGAGGGAAGGGACATCACTTATTCTGAAAATATTCTTGTGCAGTAGTTTAAATTTCGCGGGAAGAAAAAATCAACGTCTATATTTGGTATAGGAGCTCTTCAGCTTTGGAGGTAAAATCAGAGGAGTGCCTGTACTGTTGGGAAACGGCAGGATATTTTTTTCGTAAGTCATGTTTTTTTAAATGTTATAACTCACATTGGTAACTGATATTTCTTTGCTATGTATTATTGTATTATCATTAACGTATCACAATACCTGAATCGCCATTTTTTTCTGGATAAACATTGGTATGTGAATGATGGACAATTAGTGAGGCACCGAACAGGGAAATCCTGAACAACGAAAAACAAAATGCAGTCCTTACAAGATAGAAATACACTTACCCATGATTATCAGAATATCGTTAATATATTTGTTACTTCTTTAATTTTTAAAAAAATATTTTCAATGTAGGTTTTCTTAGTCTAGTTCCTGTTAAACATATTCATATATTCCTTTGCAATGGTAACGTCATTAATCACAATACTTGTCAAGTTTTATGCCAAGGAGATGAAATTGAGATGTAACAATTGCTTGTATTGTGAGGATATATAGGCCCCTAGTTGGAAATAATGAACCTGTTTAACATTGTTCATCGGGCTCTAAATAGATACCTCCCACTCCATTCCAGTTAGAGATTAACACTTAAATACCTGTGAACTCTAGAAACAAGCACCTGCTTAAGGTCTAAAAAAAATTACTTGCAGGCCCTATGTCAGCCTGGGAATTGAGTCAAATAGACATGATTGATTGATTTATGTTGTTTAACGTCCCTCTCTGAAGATGCCACACCTTTGCCAGTGGAGAGCTACAAATTTTATCCTATACTCAGGACCATTGAGCATTGAGGGATCTTTTTTGTGCCAGCACCTACTGTGACACGAGACCTTGGTTTTTATGGTCTCACCTGAACGATGGATCCCCATGTCACAGCACAACTTAAGGATGGACTCCGTATTTTGTGACTCTAGAGCAGGCGCTCTAACCACTGCACCACGTGTGGGACCGAATAGAGAACTTTTATCAAACATGTACCAGTGCAGACATGAACATACAAACATTTGATATGCACCATCTGTAGTGTATACATCAAACATAATTTTTCTAATCTTAACCCATTCAAGTGATCATGCTTTAATAGTAGGCCAAACTGCCTATCCCCAGCCCACCCTCTGCCCTTACTATAATAATAAAATTGTTAAATTGGGGTCTTAATGAATTAATGTAATGAATACCAAGTATTTTTCTTGTGAAGCCCACACTAAATTCCAAATTGTATCAGTATTCTATTTCTGAGAAAAACACACAAACTACAACATGCACAAGGGCAAAATACATTTTACAATATGTAAGTACAATTCTAGAATTTCTCATCATCATTTGAAAAAAAACTTGGAATATGACCCAATGTTTGAAAATCCAATAATGTTATAAGATACAAAACAAAGAAAAGCTGGAGACCAACACCTTGAGGTAAAAATTGCGGAAGATTCTCACGTGTGGATACCGAAAGGTATTCAATAGGGTCTGCAGGGCTTTCAAAAAGTTTTGAACCAAGTGGTACTTTATACAAAATAGGAGGTACCACTTGGCGAACGCCGAAGGCGTGAGCCTGCTTTGCCCCCCCGGAAAAATTTTGAAATTTAGAAGCCACCAGACAGTATTTCCTGGTTTCTAGACACATAGAAGTATGCTGCTATCAGTGTTATTTTTATGCCATGTTTCAAAGTTTATTTTTGGTCAATACACATTACATTTGAAGTTTAGCACTGGATGGATGGAATTACATAGAAAAAATTAGTTATTTGAGCAGAGTAAGAATAAGATTTAGGTAAAACTTCTACATGTTCTAAGTTCTATGCTATATTTGTTTATATAAATGTGTTCAAACATTTTTTGCAAGGTTTTAGTTGTAAGTGTTATGTTTTAAATATAAAAAAAAAATTATTAAGTCACGAAAGGAAATGGAAATTCAAAATTTAAATTTAATAAAAGAGAAATGAAATTGTATTTGCATTAAATTAAATTAATTTCTGTTCTACAGTAAAGTGCAGATTTAAAAAAAAAAATTTAGAAGAAGCACTGCATGATGCATAGCATGTACCAATAAATTCAGCATATTTTTCATGCACTGGTACATGTACATAAAAAAAAATATACATGTGTAAATTAAACAAAGATGACATCAAGACTTGAGACAAAAAAATTTAGATATGACTCCCTCACTTTACTGGATATGGTTACAATATTTGGAAGAAAGTTAATGTCCGCAAGATCATTCTCTTGACCACTAGAAAACTGCTGAATCAAAGAATTAAATGTGTGGCAAAAGAAATAGTTTCTGTCTTATGTCCTTTTGTTTCATCAGAAAGTTGCAGATATTGAAGACTGTAAGTAATTTATATCGTCAGCTGCGTATTTTGACACTTAAATTTGAAGAGTTGAGGCTATTAAAATGTACAGAGGTGGTCAAAGAACTATCTGCTGTTCATGTCCGTCTCTCTATCGGTCAATTGTTTTGAAGACTTTCCGTGGTCTAGTTCCTTATCTTAAAATCATTTGTGAAAATCACTACCATGGCTTTCAATTGACACTTTCATTTCTGAAACTTGGATTCCTTTTTTTTTATTTTTTTGACCGTATTTATTTAAAATATATTCCTAGTGATTAGCTTTTGTAAAAATCAGTGAAGGAGGCATTTGATATCGAAATCTACTTTCGTTTTCGACAAGATCTTTAAGACGCGTTACGCAATCTCTTTTGTTTCATTTATTCAAACGCTTTAATGATCTTCTTGACTAACCAATCAAAAACGTTATTAGATACCATTACGGACTAAAGAATAATACAAAGCTACGTAACCACAACTTTTGTAAAACATGGTAGGGCCTATCGTATTTTGCGATTTTTTTTTTCTCCACTGAATATTTTGGCCGGTACCATGAATGAATCCAACCGGGTAAAAGTACCGGGTACCGGCATATTTTGAAAGGCCTGGTCTGTAACTAAAGTTATAAACTTAAAAGTGTAAAACAGATCACCAACACTTCGTGAGAATGCAGCAGTAAATATATTTTGTTATGATGTATATTATTATTATAAATACAGTGTATATTTACTGCTGCATTCTCACGCAGTGTTGGTGATCTGTTTTACACTTTTAAGTTTAATATTATAAGATTTGAATAGCCTAGATGGCTTTCCTAGCTATGATATATTTTGAGTCAAGAGATCCTGTTATCCCCATTCAGGCCCATTGGCTTCCACTCTGTAGGTCAATTAAAGTAGTGGATTTTTTTCTCATTGAGCAACCAATTTTAAACTTGTAAATGACTTCTAAAGTTCAATGAAAAATTATATATTGTTAAAAAAGGAAAATTCAAGATATTGTATTGCTCTTTTTTGATAGTAGACTAGCACTCATGCATATGATGCAAGGTAACATGAAGTTTTATTGGATATTTTTTTGTCAAAATGAATGAATGTTTAATTCCCACAGGAGTGATCTTATTACCAATACCTTATAAATGTCATCGAGTTGATCTTTGTCACTTCAGATTTGTAGAAATGGATATGTAGTGATTCTACAGGCAAATATAAATAAAGAACATTGATATCTTCTTCTTCAATACTTTGATAATTATATGCTCACTTGCCCTTTATAGGAAGGACAACATCTTAACATAGTGTTGAATTGAGCAGTCCAATTTTTTCTCTTAAAATTTTGACTCTAGACTGCTGGAATTTATTATAGACTTAGTACAAAGTTTAAATTATTTCTACAACCCATCAACCACTATTGTGTGCATTGATGTTGATAAGTAAATCAAATTACATTAGGTTGTTTAAATCATCCCTTTGGACTCCCCAGTAAATGAGATATTTAGATGACTAGAAAAGGTTGACAAAGTGCCAGGTGACAATCTAACACCTAGGGCACCATTTTGTAGACCATACCAGAGAGACACACTCATGCCTTCTTATAATCAACAGATAATCAGCATACATCAGATGTTCGTCTACTGGTACATCAGATGTGTGTCTACTGGTGCATCTGCTGTTTTATAATGCATCACATATGATATTCACATCTGTATCTCACTTTCTTTTACACATTTTAACCATGATAACCTCAAATCTGCACAGTGTAAACCTTATGCTAGGAGAGTTTTCTTTGTGGTACACAAGGATACTGGCAATATGGCTGAATATTCCTTAAAAAACTTGACTGATCATGACAACTTGCTAATGAATATAATGACTATCTTTTCTGCATTTGGTGCTTGTATTAAAGTTTTATCACATGTATTAAACATGTGATGATTTGATTTTAATAATCAATCAATGTAAAGCTTTACATAGGAGTCATAACCGGTGGGGGGGGGCGGGGGGGGGGGGGGGGGGCTAAGCCCCATCACTTTTTTTGCAAATATATACATAATATAAGCACTGAAAATTGGGGTTTACCTTTCCTTGTTGGTTTAGCCCTCCCCCCTTTCAAAATGCTTCTGATGCCTATGCTTTAATTTGAACTTTTGATAATTTATTGAATGTAGTTATCCAAATTCCTGATTTAGTAAACTCATTAATAAATTCCTGTTTAAAGGGAATTCATGTATGTTTTAATGGATAACTTGACCATTCAGGTATAATCATAATCAATGAGATGCTTCTACATGTATAGTTGTGACTGATAGTGGTCTGGTCAATAAACTGGGTGATAACAGACCCAAATTAAAGTTACAGGAGTTGGTCTGCCCCCCAGAGATTAAACGTAGCTGACATTTGACAATCCATGCCACACTTCTCTTTTATTGATATGTACATATGTAAATATTTTTAGGAAGAATTGTGTCATCAGACATTGTACATGAAAATAAGGTCAACAAATAAGGTCAACAAATCCAATGAGGTGATATGCCTTTGTGGGGATTACATGTGAACGAATCAGTAAATAAAAGAAGAGCAGACTATAATCAAGTGTCTGTGAAATACAAAAATGCTTCTCATCTTACAGAACAGTTTTGCCATAGTTACTAAAAGCAGAAATTTCTGTGAAATGCATACAATACAATACACTTCTCAACCTACAGTTTTGGTCTGATTTTAATAACTTCAGTTGGCTCACAAGTAGACTGTCATTATGTTATAAATTTTAAAGTCACATAAAGTTAGAATTAAGATTTTTAGCCAAATTTGGTTGGGCAGAATTTTTTAAATTTAAATGCTGAATACCCGGTATATCTACACAATGCTCTTTTGCATTTTCATTATTCAATAAGTTATTTCTCATCTATGCTATCGATTGGAAGCCAACCTTCATGACTTTATTAGTTATTTGATATAATTTTTAACTCACCTGAACTGTTTGAGTGAGCTTTATGATAATTTTGTTTTACATTTGTAGCTGACAGCTCAACAATGTTAGGGAAGCTTTTGTAATATCCTCAAGTTTTGTTATCCAAGTTCAAGTCTTTAAATGGAATGCTGAAGCTGAGGATGTTACATAAGCTCCACCATAAAAGGTTTTGGAGCAGTATTTTTTTTAAGTGCTTCTCTGTCCTGCTTTAATCAGAGAAGCATGGAGGATGTTTCTTACTTTCTAGTATGCTTCATTGTACCAGTTAAAAGTCAAGGTTTCAGATGCAATGACCACGTTCATGTTTTTGGAGCAGGTTAAAGATTTTGGACGGTATGTGCAGGTTAAATTTTTGCAGCAGGTTCTTCTAAAGTAACTACATGCACATAATAGCTAGCACATAAGCCTTATTTTGACCAAACTTGGGTGGATGATACATCTTAGGATAAACATTACTGGACTTGCTTGGAATGCTGGATTTGACCTACATTTTCCAAATGAAGGACCAGGTTAATGTTGCTGGCACGGGTCCATTACCAAGAAACTAGAAGGCCTATCTGTATCAAGTACTTAACTTGTACAGTTGACGTATGGATGATGCATCAAAGATCCAGATGAAGACTCCTAAACTTGGTTCAGGTGCTGGATTTGAATTACATTTTCTGGATTAGTGACTACATGTAGTTGAAATTTTTGGATAATTTCATCCCAAGTTCAAGTCCCATCATATCAAAATTGTTTAAATGTTGTTTCTTAGAATGTACTTTACTTCAGTTCATTATTAGTTTAGTTTGCGACTTTGCCCTACTTATAACTATATAGACATTGAACATTTGATGAGGTGAGCTCTGTAATATCTGATTACCATAATGATATGTTTTACTTTGTCTCCAGAACTGGAATGAATGAAGTCCTGCAAGGATTGTTAGGTAGTGCAGATTTAATATATTTTCCATTTAGTCCCTGGGGTAGGACTTGGCTTCAATAGGGGTCAAAGTATTTAGGAAAAAAAATCTTAAAGACTAGATCAAGCAACATCAGGTAGTGCAGGCTCAAACTGTCCCAGTCATTGTGCCTTGGCAATAGTCAGGATGTAGGCCAGAATTGGAGATTTATAAGTTGTACATGAGAGTAATAGTATAGAAGTAATTAAGGCTATAAAGATCATGGATATTGACCTTAATAAGTCAGTAATAAAGCACCTGACTAACTAGTGGAAGAGGGATTCCGGATCCAGTCATATATTATCTTCATCATGTTTATTAATTCCTTCTTTCCTACTACGATGTAGGGGAGAAAACTTTAACAACTGCCCAATTTACTGTGAATATACAATTTTGATATGAAAAAAATACTATATTAAATCTTTGAACTTTTACCATGGAACATATTGTTGTAACCCCCCCCCCCCCAAAAAAAAATCTAAGACTGGCTTCCTGTTCTTAGTTGCATGTGTTGTTTATTGAGGAATTTATGTACCAAGTTCAAAATTTAATCCTATAAAAGTATTTTGAAAGCTGTGACTTACAAGACATTGTTTTCAATAAAGACGCTCTAGGAGGTAGATAATTATTATATATACATGTATCGTGTATATAAAATATTAAATAATTATATAAAATTATCACTTCAGTATTAATTTCGTTTCTTAGATTCATGACCTGCTTCATATTTATGAATGTTATGCATTAATACATATTGACATTTTATTCTAGGTAGCTGTAAAACATGTTAAATGATTTAACATTTGATGAAATTTAGTCTTGTTGGTCATTGTTCTGTACATTATTATTTTTTAGTTGTGAACATCCTAGTAGGTATTTGAGCACTTGACAAACATTTAATGTTATATTTTCATGATTAATACATATGCATTTAAAATCATGGCATACAATATGTACAGAATTAAGAATTTGCTGAACCAAAGTGCAAAAGGTTGTAAAAAAAAAAAAAAAAAAAGCTGCTGCCATAGAAGTACCAGATTTAAGTACTGTACCAGATTATTGTTACAGAAAAAAGCATAGGAAGTAAAGTTAATTGTAAGACTTAAAATTGCAGGAATGGGGCGTGACAGTCTCCGTTACTAAGAAACCATCTGCTGCTGACTAGAATCTCTCAAAGCTGTCCAGTAAAACTTAAAACATGACTAGTCAGGTAATGGCTTACTGTAAATAATAAATAATTATTACTTTATAGGATTGAAAGTCAATTTGCAATGTATGTTAAATAGCTGAGTTGTCAATAACATGAATAAAATAACAAACTCAAGAAATATTGAATAATAAATATGAATACATATCTATTCAGGTTTTTTTTTCTTTTCATCAAAGCATTATTTTTAAAAATTGTACTAAGGTTTCAAAGTGATTTATAACTTTAGCTAAATAGTTTTTTGAGAGTTAGTGCTAATTGGCTTTTTATTTCACAGGTAAATGCAAACCAGGAACTTTTCCTGGATATCCTCACCAAAGAGGAAAAAGAAGCCTTACTCACCAAAAAAATGGAAGAGATAAGGAAGAAAAACGAGGCACTCCGAAAGAGGCACGAGGTCTGTAACGTCCAGATTTGATAACATAAAATAGAGATATCTTTAATCAAATAAAAAAATTGTTTTGAAAGGATTCTTATAACAAAAATTCTTAACTTATAGCTTTAATGGAAAGTATATGTTGATAGAAGTTTAACCTTTTACACATTGACAGGAAATAGAGGCAGATAAAAGAGCTGTTTCAGGGGGAGCCAGAAAAGTAGCCTCCCCAAGGAAAGAGTCAAAGGTAATGTTACATTAGTCATCTGTACTAGCAAAACACTAAAATAAAGTAGCCTCCCCAAGGAAAGAGTCAAAGGTAATGATACATTAGTTATCTGTACTAGCAAAACACTAAAATAAAGTAGCCTCCCAAGGAAAGAGTCAAAGGTAATGATACATTAGTTATCTGTACTAGCAAAACACTAAAATAAAGTAGCCTCCCCAAGGAAAGAGTCAAAGGTAATGATACATTAGTTATCTGTACTAGCAAAACACTAAAATAAAGTAGCCTCCCCAAGGAAAGAGTCAAAGGTAATGATACATTAGTTATCTGTACTAGCAAAACACTAAAAAAGAAGCCTCTCCAAGGAAAGAGTCAAAGGTAAAGTTACATCTGTACTAGTGAAACGCATAGTAGAAAAGAAGAAGCCTTCCAAAGGAAAGAGTCAAAGGTTATGTTACATCTGTACAATAAAAACACTTCAAAAGTAGCCTCCCCAAGGAAAGAGTCAAAGATAATGTTACATCTGTGCTAGCAAAACACTAAAAAAGTAGCCTTCCTGTTAAAGAGTCAAAGGTAGTATTACATCAGACATCTGTACTAGCAAAACACTGGAAAAGAAGAAGCCTCCTTAAGGAAAGGGTCAAAGGTAATGTTATATCTATTCAGCAAAAGTTGTGTTGCAAAACACTAAAAAAGTAGCCTTCACAAGGAAAGAGTCAAAGGTAATTGCATACCCTAATAGCAATGTCCCAACACCCTGATAAAAAATAGTTACCCAAAGGAAAGGGTCAAAGGTAATGTTGTGATAGCAAAATGGTAACCGTAAAGTAGCCTTCCCTAAAAAAGAGTCAAACTTATATAAAATCTGTAATAGCAAAAACATCTTTTTAAAGGGCACAAAAACTTGATATTAATTTGATGTTGATCAGGTCAGAAAAAGATTACCGCGGGTAATTTAAATGACAGACAGTCTTGCATGATTAAGGTTACTTTGTTTTGCAAATATACAAGTATATTTTTAAGAACGTATGAAGGTAACCTTGTAACCTTCAAAGATCAGAAACATTTTGAGACATTTGATATTGGTTGAATGTGGTATTATTATTGTCACCATGGTCATTGGTTTCGAATGTTTTTAAAGATTTGGTATGACTATATTAGTCTTAAGATATCTCACAGTGGCCAGTAACATACTATGATTTTTCATAATCACTTAAAACAAAAAGGTTTCTTTAGGCTACATAGAATTGAAATTCTGGTTCTCAGGCCCGCGCGCATCCGTTTTGAAGTAGCCGCATTGCTAATTTTATTGTATTTTTGATAAAATAAAAAGTTGGCATTGCGGGACCAATCTGAAAAAAAAAAGTTCCGTCCTCATTTTTTTTGTAGTTTAGTAGTGCTGTGTGATATTACCGGTTAACCGGTGTATCCCGATTTCGTTCTTCACAATACGTATCGCGGTATTTTTTTGTGAATACCGGTTCGAGTTCGATATGATATAAATTGTTACAAAAAGAGTTATTTGCCCATTTCAAGGTAAAATATGGTGGCAAGCGATGTGAAGTGTGATCAGAAACCAGAGACATGTATCTTTCAAAAACGAAACGACGACAACTATTATATGAAACCCCTTCATGTTAAAGCTGAATCAGAGTATTACCATAGGCGCTCCCCATGTAATTCTGTAAATGACGTATGATAAGTATATATAGGTCTACCCCTCTATACTATAAAATATCCAAGGCCTGCAACTGGGCGCCATTGTGGATTTTGGGACCTCTGACTGACTTACTTTAAGGGTTTCTGGGGTATACTGGGCTGGTTATCAGCATCGGGTACTCTAATTTATTGAAATAAAATATTTGCAAACTTTTATCCAGCACCATTCCGTTGCTTTCTCTTGTTTTCAAACATTTCTCTATTACACCGTCACACTTAGCTGATCTCGGCCGGAAGAAGTCGATTTCGTCGATTTTCAACAACTCGTACGAAAATAACTTTCGGAAGTTTGACAATATTTAGTGGAGAAAGTACATAGGCGCTTGGTTTCAGGATGGTGTATTTTGTGTATTATGTGTTTTTTGGTTTGTCTGAATACCCTGATTAAAATAAAAATGAAAACTCGCTGAAATTAGCACGTTTTAAAAATGTCATGTGTACAGTATATATACTCTCATAGGCATGTACATGTAGCATTGTTTTTGAAAGTGAGGGGGGGGGCAGCCAGAGAGAAACATTTTTTTTTCACTTACCTGTAAAAGTTGACAAGCCAAAAAAAAAAAACGCTCAAACACGAAAATCCTATTTCGGGGGGTGGGGGGGGGGGGGTGGGTGGGGTAGTGGTCAAATTTTTTCAAAGCCAACTTCCTTTCACTTTCATTTTTTTCCCCATACAATACTAGTACATTTTCCTTCATATCACAATACTATGGTATGAGTACCAACCTTTCAATGCACATTTTCAATAGTAAAGGTAATGTTGGGAAAAAATAGGGGCGGGCAGCCCCCCCCCCCCCCCCCCTGTTGCTACAGATAAGATAAGATAAGATAAGATATATAAGATTTATTAATACCAATTTGGGGCCCATCAGGGCATACAAGTAATAAGGAAAAAAAAACATACAAGCAGAAATTCAAAATTGATAGCAGAATTAAACTAACAAAAGATAAATGATGTTACAGCAGTTGGGGATTACAACATACATAATCAATATACTGTAAATGAAAGTTTGTTTAAAGTATTTCTATATATTACTCTTTTGTATTTATTTGTTTCTTTGTTTAACATTGCATAATTTGCTATTTCTTATTTTAAAGATATTGATTAAAAAATTACCCAGCTTGATAAGCAACATGTCATCTTCATTAGACATAATCCATAAAAATTTTTCTTTATTTGTTAAAGTATAGAAATTTTTATTACTTTTAGCAATAATATTAAAAAAGTCATCTCTATCATGCTTATATAATGGACATTCAATCAGTGAGTGTATCTCATCTTCCACACAGTTCATGTCGCACATTCTACAAATTCTTTCATTTCTTGCAAGGGTGGTTTGCTCTCCAGCAGAGTTTAGTTTTTTTTCGTACCTTCCACTTTCTATTCTGAGGTTATGTGAACTCACTCTAAATTTGCATATAATTTTTCTTTGTTCAAAATTTTTTAATAATAAATACTTTTCAATTTCAAAACTTCTTTTTATATAGAAATATGTTGTAAGTTTACCCGATAGACAACCATCATCTCTTTGTTTAAACCAATATTGAAGGAAATCTTCTCTAATAATTTTTTTCAGATGTTTCTTTAAAGTTATTAGTTTCATTGATTTACATCTTGACAAATCTATGCCCATTCTGTTACAGAAATATGTTACATTTGAAAACCAACTATTTACATTACAACTGTCCAAGATAATGCTTTCTTTGTATGCACTGTATAACAAAGAGTTTTCAGGCATGTTTTCCAGTCTGTGCCAGTAAGATATAATTGCTATAATAATAGAATAAAATATTGGTTGTCTACCCAGTTCAGAGAGAACTGCAATATTTACTTCTTTTCCCAGACCCTATGATAAATTTGCAAAATTTCATATGAAGATTTTCAATCTCCCAGTCTTTAAATATATCAAATAAACATTTTTCTTTTCTTTGCATTGATGATGACAATAGTTTTTTCGGATCCATAGGTAGCTATTGGCTTGATCATGTGATCAAATAGATGAAGTAAAGTTTTAATGGGTGGATCTGTTGATTTTATATCTTTGTATATTTTAAATGATGACTTTAAAGCTTTGTTATATAAATTACACCTTGCTTCTTTGAAAGAACCAGAATTTGAGAGTATTATTCCTAGGTATTTATACGTTTTTACACATTCTATATTAATACCATTAATTGAAAATGTTTTAATAAATGCCCACTTCTGTTGAAAATAATTACTTTTGTTTTGTTAACATTGATTTCCAAACACCATTCTTTACAATATTTGTATAACATATCAAGTTTTTGTTGCAGGGCTAGCTGGTTGTCAGATAATAATACTAAATCGTCTGCATATAATAAAGCTCCTATTTGCTTTTTGAAAAGTGAGACTGAGTTAACAACATCTTCATTTAGTAAATTTGCGAGATCATTTAAGAATATTTTGAATATATTCGGGCTTAAACATCACCTTGTCTTACTCCTAGTTCAGGTGAGAAAGGTTGGGTTAATTTATTATCAATTTTAATCGAGATATAACTGTATTTGTACATACTGCATATTATTTTGTAGAATAGTCCATTTATATTCAATTGAAGAAGTTTAAGTTTTATGCCTTCGTGTATTATTGTATCAAATGCTTTATGGAAGTCAACGAAGCAAGCATACAAACGTTTATTACCTTTGTTGGTGTATTTGTCGATCAGACATTTCATTACAAATAAATGATCCGAAGCTAGCTTTTTTTGAAAATCCTATTTGGCTTTCGTGAATGATGTTATTTTCCAATAAAAAATTATCTAATCTATTGTTAAGTATTATATTGAAAAGTTTGCCAATACTGTTGGTAATGGTTATGCCTCTATAATTTTGGGGTAATCGGGGATTTTCTGATTTAAAAATAGGTGTTATATAACCTTCTACCCATTTTCTGGGATAAATTCCGGAAGTGAAGACATTGTTAAACAATTTTAGAATACAAGGATTCATGTAAATTTGTGCTACTCTCAACATTTCGTTGGTAATATTATCCAGGCCAGGGCTTTTATCAGATTTTATACTAGACAAAGATTTTTGTAATTCCTTTAAAGAGATTTTAAACAGTTTAAAACGATATAAAGTTTGGTCCATTTTCAAGTTCCTTAATTTTATTTTGAATAATTTGTAGTCTCTCTGAATGCTTATTAGAGTTTAAACAGGGTACTAAAGTAGTTATGCCACATATCTGGTTCAATACATTTCTGTTTTTTCCTTATTCCCCTCTTTGGCTTCTCTGATTGAACTAAATTCCAGTATTCTTTAGGATTATTTTCCTTTAGTTGATCTAACTTGTCGAAAATATTTTGAACAAACTGTCGTTTTTTGTATTTATTTAATTTAGCATACACTTTTTTAGCTTTGAAATAAGACCCTCGTATGAAAGGGTTGTTAGGAAATTTAGATATTAAGATAGCCTTTTCACTAAGTTGTTTCTTCATTTTCCAAAGATCTGAATCAAACCATTTTTTGTTAACTTGTTTATTTTTATGAACCTTCTTATTTAGTGATAATTTTGCTACTTTTTCAAAAATGTTATGGATATCATTTGTAGCTTCATTAATTTCCTTTTCATTCATTTGTATATCTTTATTTAAAAAGGTTTGTATGTCTTGTTGGATAATAGGGTGTGTAAAAAAAGTTCTGGTAGTGGCTTATTAGTGAACTGTTCCATTTGTAACGAATAGGCATTTCTTGAAGATTATTGTTATTTATCTCCCTTGTAAAAGATGATAGTATTTTTAGTGAAATTTTACAATGACAATCAGAGAATGGTAAAAAATCATATACATGAAAGTACATAATATCGTCAAGTAATTTCTCTGTTACAATAAAGTAATCGACAACACTTGAACCTGCATAGTTATGGCAAGTAAATTTTCCATATGAATCACCAAAAATTCTACCGTTAACTATTCTCATCTTATTTGCTATACACATTTCTAACAAGTCTTTACCTCTATTATCTAATGTGATATCTCTATTTTTCCTATCCCCAACTGCTATATCTACATTATAAAAGTCTTCTTTAATTGGAATGTGTGAGGTATTATCTCCTTTTATGTAATCAGGTTCATTACCAGTTCTGGCATTAAAATCTCCAGTAAGTATAATATCACCCATATCTCTATACTTAATAATATCTCTCTCCAGTATTTCTAGTATATCATTATTATTTCTTAAATAACCTGATGTGTAGGGAATGTAGATCAAACATAAGTATATGTCTGATTTAAAATTGAAGAATTCTTTTTTAAGCTTTAACCATTGAAACTCTGTGTTTGTATTTTGAAGTACTAAAATGCCCTTTCTTATGTTTTTCTTTATTAAAATTCCTAAACCTCCAAAGTATCTGTTATTCTTTGACTTATCTCTACAAACTGAGTAGTAAGAAAAGTTATCCACTTCAAGGGTAGTATTATAGCCTATGTGTGTTTCAGTGAGTAATACAATATCAAAATTTTTTATCTGATCTATAAATTTGTTATCTGTACATTTAATGCCGTCAGTGATCATACCTCCCACATTCCATGTACATATGTTTAAATAGGTTTCAGCTCTACTCATTGTATTTATAACAATTAATATAATGAGCTATCTTGAATAATTATATGGACAGTTTTGTTTTTTCTTTTTTAACAAAAACAAAAACAAACAAACAGAATCTATCAATAAAGATTTGTTCTGATTATAAATTCACAATCTCTTTTAATAAAGATTTGTGTACTGACTAAAAATCCACAAAAGCTATGTGTTATGATATAGCTAAAAGAAAACTTAGTGCCAGGGTCTGCCTCGCTACATGCCTGTCTAGCTTATACGGACTTGTGTAGAGAAAATAAATCAGTTAGAAAATCAGTACCTCTTTCCGAGATAATATTTTTTTTATTTTCTCAAAGAGTATCACAGGGTCTTGTGTACAGAAACAAAAAAAAATGTACCCCAGAAAAAAAAAAACTCCGAGGAATATGACATTTTTAAAACGTGCTAATTTCAGCGAGTTTTCATTTTTATTTTAATCAGGGTATTCAGACAAACCAAAAAACACATAATACACAAAATACACCATCCTGAAACCAAGCGCCTATGTACTTTCTCCACTAAATATTGTCAAACTTCCGAAAGTTATTTTCGTACGAGTTGTTGAAAATCGACGAAATCGACTTCTTCCGGCCGAGATCAGCTAAGTGTGACGGTGTAATAGAGAAATGTTTGAAAACAAGAGAAAGCAACGGAATGGTGCTGGATAAAAGTTTGCAAATATTTTATTTCAATAAATTAGAGTACCCGATGCTGATAACCAGCCCAGTATACCCCAGAAACCCTTAAAGTAAGTCAGTCAGAGGTCCCAGGCGAAATCCACAATGGCGCCCAGTTGCAGGCCTTGGATATTTTATAGTATAGAGGGGTAGACCTATATATACTTATATCATACGTCATTTACAGAATTACATGGGGAGCGCCTATGAGTATTACAACTTAATTAAATTCAACAAGTTTTCCCACAAAAAAAACTTATCTTGCCGCTTGCTCCAAAATAACGCGATCAGGCAATCGGAATATCAACTCGAGAATACATGTAATTTGAGTTTGTGTTTTCATTTAACCTTGACGAAAAGCAAAAAATTATTAAATATTTATATCGTGATATATTGCAATACAAAATGTAATATTGCAATATATCGCGATACGATTTTTCCGTCGCGATACCCAGCACTATAGTTTAGTACTCAAATATCACTTCAGGTAGCCATTTGCAAAGAGATTCTGGCTACTTTGTGTGAAAATACATTGTAAGACATTGCCTACGATTTTCACACGCAGATAAGCAATGGATAAAGCAAACCTTTTGATCAGACATGTAAAGTATATCTGTAAATAAAAAAATTAACTTCATTTTTAAAGAAAATTCAAAAATTATAATTAAAAAAATACCTCCCTCATCTATTTTATTGCCAATAAAATGATAAATAAAATGCTTCCTGCCCACATCTGTTTTGGAGGAAATTGGCCTGAGAACCAGAGAATTAAATTTAGATAGCTTTTTGTATATAGTACCAACCAGGCTCAACTTGGCACCCAAGCAGTCCCATAAGGCAGGTGCAGGGACTGCCGTGGGGCCACTCTAAAAAGCAGATGAGATGTCATTATTTATGGCATATTGCGTCATTTATGAACGCCCTATCATATGTCATTAAGAACTTTTTTTTTTAAAATTAGTTCAACCTTCAAGGTCAAGGGGTCAAATATCATAGCATGCTTGGAAATGTCATGTCACAGACAGGTAATGCACACGTCAATATGAAAGCCCTACATGTATCTCTTCACAATCAAAAGTTACTTGGAAAAATTCACGATTTTGAAAAGTAGGTCAACGTCAAGGTCACGGGTCAAAAGTCATAGTCTATTTAGAAAGGTCTTGTCACAGGCAATACACATTTATAATATGAAAGTCTTATTTCTTCTCATTCAAAAGATATTACCAAGCTTAAAGTTTTTGTGATAGACTAACAGACCTACAGATTGACAGTCGAAAGCGGGGGACAATAAATGTGTTTATCAGTTTTTCATTTCAATGATCATTGTTGCCTGATAACTAAAAAACAGAAATTTCTGTGAAATATTTTCAAAATGCTTTTCCTCCTACAGTATTGTATGTACAGTTTTGGTCTGATTTCAGTACAGCTGTATAACCTTTTACACAAGTAGAGTAACGTACACTACATGTAAGACATACTAGTATCTTAAAATTTCTATCTATTAGTTTTGGAGTTTGATAATCTGTGTTGCAATGATACAATGGCTATAAATACCTCTCATTAAAAATATATAAATATTAAAGAACAAATAGCTAAATTTAGGTCTTGCTGTTCAGTATTCCACTTACTAGTATACTGTATTCATTGCATAATTCTGAACATATCTTTTTTTATTTTAATGAATTGTGTTGCTTTGGTTATTTATACAGGTTCTTTTCTCCATTTTAGTTGACCATTGGTGTAAAATGCTACAGATCTTATACAAATACAAAAGTATACTGAAATTTTAATTTATGATTCAGCCTCTACCTGGAGAGGAAGTGCCCAAGGAGCCAGCAGATGGTAGAAAAGAGCGACCCAGGCAGCCCAGACCTGCCGGGCGAGGGAAATCCCCAAATAAAGGAGTCCGAGACACTCCAAAGGCTCAGGTATAAACATAATCAATAGGGATTCCTATCATGACAGTGGAGACAAAATAAGTCTCTGAAACATGTCTATGTGCTTTTTAGCTCACCTCGACAAAGTCGAGATGAGCTTATGCTATACCCCCGGCGTTGGCGTTGGCGTCGGTGTTGGCGTCGGCGTCGTCCCAGGTTAAAGTTTTAGGAGCAAGTCCATTCCCAAGTAACTATAAGCCCTACCTAAATCAAACTTGCATGGATGATGCATCTAGGGATGTACACTACCAGACTTGCTTTGGATGCTGGATCTGACCTATATTTTCTAGATGAGTGACGAGGTTAAAGTTTTTGGAGCAGGTTAAAGTTTTTGGAGCAGGTCCATTCCCAAGGAACTATAAGCCCTACCGGGACCAAATTTGCATGGATGATGCATCTAGGGATGTACACTACCAGACTTGCTTCGGATGCTGGATCTGACCTACATTTTCTAGATGAGTGACGAGGTTAAAGTTTTTGGAGCAGGTCCATTCCCAAGGAACTATAAGCCCTACCGGGACCAAATTTGCAGGGATGATGCATCTAGGGATGTACACTACCAGACTTGCTTCGGATGCTGGATCTGACCTACATTTTCTAGATGAGTGACCAGGTTAAAGTTTTTGGAGCAGGTTAAAGTTTTTGGAGCAGGTCCATTCCCAAGGAATTATAAGCCCTACCCGGACCAAACTTGCATGGATGATGCATCTAGGAAAGAACACTACAAAACTTGCTTCGGATGCTGGATCAGACCTACATTTTCCAGTTGAGTGACCAGGTGAAAGTTTTTGGAGCAGGTCTATTCCCAAGGAACTATAAGTCCAACCTGGACCAAACTTGCATGGATGATGCATCTAGGGATGGACACTACCAGACTTGCTTCGAATGCTGGATCTGACCTACATTTTCATTCCCAAGTAACTATAAGCCCTAGCTAAACCAAACTTGCATGGATGATGTATCTAGGGATGTACACTACCAGACTAGCTTCGGATGCTGGATCTGACCTACATTTTCAATCCCAAGTAACTATAAGCCCTAGCTAAACCAAACTTGCATGGATAATGCATCTAAGGATGGACACTATCAGACTTGCTTCGGATGCTGGATCTGACCTATATTTTCCATACAAGAGACCAGGTTTAAGTTTTGGGAACAGATCAATCCAAAAGTACTTGAAGTCCTTGATATCTGCAGTATTAACAGTTATGAATATTTGTTTACACTATACATGTTTTTCACGCTACACGCATAGAAATGTGTATATGCCATGTAAGGGGTTAAACACAACTTGCAAGAATATTGTTATTGGGATGAATACTAAATATTAAGAAAATATGATGTGAGATTTGCATTACTTTAACTAATAGCATTCGTCGAGGTGAGCTTCGTAATCTTTGATTACCTATGTTTTAAATATTCAAACAAAAAGACATCTCTTATGAGGAAAGAAATATACATGCATGTACTATTAAATACAAAATAAGATAAATGGTCTATTGTGAGAAAAGAAACTTTCGAAAATTTGTTTTTATGTTTTGCATGCAAATAAAAATTGGATTGCAGTATGTGGTGCACATGAATAAGCAGAATATTTACTTGAAAGTTAATGTTCACTATCATGACTATGCTTATACATATAGTGTATTATGCATACTACTTACTAATCTAACTAATTTTAAGGCATGTATGTTAATGTGAATTAACTCAGTGCTCAAATAATTTATAAATAATACATCAATGTTTTGAAGACATTTAAGAATTAATGTATCATTATAATCATAGATTTTAATCATAAATTGGGATATAAATACAGTTTGTTCACATGATCGAATTCCATTAAGTCAAAAGGGCTTTATGGTAAATTTAATCATGTACCAACCTGAAATTATATCCCAATAGATGTTCTAAAATAAACCTTATTTCTTACATTTACATTTGTAACTTCTATATAATACATTTGCCTTAAATTAATTTAATGCCTAGAATATTTTATTTTCAAAACTAAACAGCACATGTTTGATCTATGAAATGTGCATCAACCTTTGGCTTCAGTGAGAAATCACATCGAATGTTTATGATGTGATGAACTTATGTTTATACAGATATAGATAAATTAAGGGTTTCTTGATAATGTTATATAAAAGAAAACATTTGCAAATGTAAAAATATACAGGTACATGATACCATATAATGCTTTTATCAAATAAAAAACGAAATTTATAGTAAATATATCTACATGCATTATCTTACTAATAGCATGTTGCATTGTTGTTTTAATTGCATGGAATTTTAATTTGGTGTAGGATATTCGAGTCACACGCAATTTATCTGGAGAAGACAAAAGCATAGAAAGTAATATCCAGATGAGTAATGACAACGAGGGCTCAACAAATGTTAATCGGAAGAAAAACTCCAAACATTCTCAATTTCAGAGGCCTGGGTCGCAAAGCTTCCCTGATAAAGAGGAACAAGAAAATCATCAGTTGGAAAAACCCCGATATTGGCGGCCATTTTCCAATGTGGAAGGGGTCCAAGGGGAACCTCCACACTATCAGAGGCACTCATCGAGTGAGGAGGACCAGGGAAGGAATCAGCGCCGTGGAAAGCGGCCCTCTAGGAACCCTCCAGTGGAGGAGGTGTCAGACGGAGCTTACGAAGCTCTGAAGCGGCAACACCAACAGCTCAACTACCAACCCAGAAATCAAGAATTTCGAGATCATGATTACAGGGATAATCGACATGAGAGAGGTGGAAGGAATAAAAGGTACCAGAGACCTCATGTCAGAAACGGTGATGCCCGACGAAGTTTTGGGGATAACCACCAAAACTTCACTAATGGATTCCAGGATAAAAGATATCCACAAGAACATTCAGAGTTTGAACCCCAAGCAAAACGCATGCAGAGTGGTATAAAAGGATTCCAGAGGAAGGAGAACCAGGGATATGACTTTTCCAAGAGCCCTCTTGTAAGTTGTTACATGGACTATATAAGAATGATTTGAAAGTTTCAAAAATTACAATTTAGGGGGGGGACAGGAAAGGCATGTATATATATTTTTTTTAAACATTTTTGATTCTTGTTGTATGTGATTGTTGTTTGCATGATGTTCATTTTATTAAGTTTTGCAAGTGTATGTTTTTAGCTACCGTTATTTACAAGTACTTAAGGATTTTTAGAATTGAATGGCGAGAGGTTCATCTTTCTGTTTAAATAATTCCTTTACAATGCATATTAACTGAGAGTATAAATTGTATTTTGTAGTCAGCTTAAACCTTACAGTATTTATCTATAATATTACAGGGACCTCCACCAGATCCAGCATACAACTTTTTGTCTGACAGATATCGTCATGGCGAGAGACCCCCAGAGAACCCCCGCGGAGACACCTCCAGGAGGCACCCCAAGAACTACGGAGGAGAGGACTTTGGCAATGTGAAGAACAGAATGAGGAAGGAACGAGAAAGACAGGTGATTCTTATCTGGGATTTCATCAGACGTTTTAGACATCTAAATGTAGCTCCCTCGTATTTGCTTGAAGAAAAACAATGAAATATATGATAAAGCATTTTAAATAGAGAGTTTAGGAGTACATGTTAATATCACAGGTCATTGAGGATAGGACCCCTCTCCCCTACCCACAATATAGGCTCTTGTGTTTTTTCATCTTTTTTCTTCAAATTGAAAATTTTCCTAAAAACAAACATTTAATAAAAATTTCCAGTTTCCACTGTGCTGTACATACGAGGGTTATCCCAAAAAGTTGTAGACAGCGAACATAGTTTATTTTCTCTTTGCTAAATCAAATTTTTTTCTTGTCATAGCAAAAAGTAACATTTGATGATCATGTATTTCAAGTTTCATGACGATACCACATTTAATAAGAAAACTATGTAAAAATAAAGAAACCATGTTAGTGTACATCGGCGCACGAAAGCAAACATAATTTACACCTCTCATAACGTCATGATTACTTTTTCTGCTTCACATGTGGATATTAACATCCAAATGAATATTTTTTTATAGTGAAAAAACACTCTTGACTAAGGGACTTATTTAAATTCACTACTGTCCGTTTTCTTAAGCAGATTCAAATTTTAGTTAAAATTTAGTTGAAAGATCACCTTACATTTTAGGCAGCAGGGAATACACCTTGTTTGACGACGTTCATGGCCCAGAACGTTCCCAAATGTCTGCGTTTAACAAACAGTACTCTACATCTTACATGCAATAACTATTTTTTTTTTTCGATATATAGAAAAAAAACTATCTTTGAATCTACTGCTATTTAAAAACACCTTCTCTACTAAAATCTAGTGTGTAATGTTATTTCTGTACTCTTTCCCTGTCTTTAATGAAGATAAAAGATACCAAAAACAATTTATTACATTTCCGTGCGCCGGGTACGTGTTCGACGACGTCATTTTCATCAGTCTCAATTCTAACAAGACTTTGAAAATCATTCCATAAGCCCATTAGTCGTCTGTTTCTAATTCAATATATATGAAATTTTGATATATTATTAAGATTTTTATTCTGGTTTCGGTGATTTAAATTTTAGTTCAATCTTTTACATAGTACTAAAGAAATAAAAGCAAATGTAATAGTTATATGCGTAAATTATTCTGAATTTTGGTCGTGCGCCGACAGACCATATTGGCCTTCATATAAATCGTCCCAATACAATTAATATGAAAGATATATATTTAGGAATTCACAATTTTAAAGAACATTGAATGTATTATGTCTATGCAAAATTTGGTTAGTATTGGTTGCGTGTTAAAAAAGTTATTAACATTGTCTACGACTTTTTGGGACAACCCTCGTATAATCCATTAAAGATTATCATCTTCCTTGAAGATGAAGTAAGAAGCGAGTTAGAGTTTCATGATGATCATGCAGGCATGAAGCATTCTTGTTCATGTATGTCATGAATTTTCATAAATTAGATTCATATCTTATATTAACATTTCTAAGTTAATGACTAGCCTTAAATTAAATTGTCATTTGACAATCATTTTGGACATAAATGATTGTACTACATTTTTATGCACCGGGATTGATAAATCCAAGGAGTATATTGTTTTTGTCCTGTATGTTTGCCTGTTTGTCTGTCTGTTGTCAACATTGACCTTCACTGCAACTTTTGAACCATGAGAGATAGAGACTTCATATTTGGTATGCATACTCCATTATTTAAGCTCTTTCAAATGACACCGAGGGCAATGACCCTGTGACCTTGAATGTGACCTACAAGCTAAAAATAGCTTTTTAGAACTTTCGCCATAAGTTTTGAACCATAGGAGATAGAGACTTCATATTTGGTGTGCTTACTCCACTAATTATGTTCTTCCAACTGACACCAAGGTCAATGACCTTGTGACCTTGACAGTGACCTATATGCTAGGGGTGGGACGATACACAGATCTTGCGATACGATACGTATCTCGATATATTAGCACGATACGATACGTATCTCGATATAATGATAAATTATAAAACTATTTAAAAATTAGTATTTTATTTAATTTTTTGTTTTGATATTAAATCAAATCATGTGTGCTTTGAAATTAATACTTGAAGTTCATCAATTTCATTGACTAAAACTTTATACAAAACCAATAATACATGTTTGGGCTCTAAATTAGAAATAAAATATTCTCTTCTGTTCTGTATGTATTATTATTACCAAATTTCTATTATCAAGTTGTTTACAAATAGTTGAGTAGTTCATCAAAGAATATTGACTAAAATTCATTTTTACATTATTATTAATTGCTGAAAGTCTGTAGCCAAGTTGAGATTACAAGAAAAAAAATTACAGAGATGGACTAACAATTAATTACATCAAATGGTCTGGAAACGATTCTTTCTGTGTTTAGCACGCTTTACATCCGAGGCTGCTTAAAAGTGAAAACGTTTTACCCCTAATCAACGACTTATTAGTTCTACAGTGTGTTTTCAATATCAACATCATCTCCTCGCTTCGTACAAGCCGCCATTTTCCAAGGACAGGTACTTAGATGCACCGCACATCGGTCAGGTGGACGGTCTGATGTCTTTCGCATAGACAATAGACTGTCCTCGCTTCGTACAAGCCGTTCCAAGGACAGGTACTTTCATTTTTAAATTTTGGATAGGTCGTTCGTGTATCGTTTCGTACCGATATTTGGATGCTTGTATCGTAAACCGTATCTTAGAGGAAAATATCGGTACGTATCGGTGTATCGGTATATCGTCCCACCCCTACTATATGCTAAAAAAAGCTTTTTTAAATATAACTTTGTTGCCACTGGGTGCATAGTGTTTCACAAACACATCTTGTTGATATCAAAGTTGAGTCAAACTTAAACTTAAGTTGGTTCAAAGCATTCTTTGGTGTAGGAGATTCTAATTTCAATTGATTTAATGGTGTAGGAGATTCTAAGTTGTTAACATTAAGGACAAAGCCCTTTCCAAGGGGAGATACATGAAAGACAAGTGTAGGTGAGGTTATGCATTTCAGATATAACAAGAAACATATTGACGCAAGCGTCAAAAATCGGCCGCAAACCAATTTATATAACTGTTAAAGTTCCTCTCAGAAACTGAAATTTGCTGTTTTTAAAAAAAAAACTGTTTTTTTCTTATTCTTACACTTATCTGTTAAAATATCCTCGTGACATGAAAAAAATGCCTGCGACAATGCCGATTGCATAATGCATGTACAATATTACATGTATAGGCAATATAAACTATGCATAGTCCTCTGCGTCTCTGCACTGAGTTTGGAACAACTTGCTGTTTAAGTAGTTTTTACATTAAAAGTACAAAACTAAAGTTTAGTCTTAGCTATAGTTTTACCTTAATAAAAACGCAACAAATATATAACGTGGGGCTCCTCCCTCTCTCTTGTTACCCCCCCCCCCCCACAACTCCTTCAAGATCCACCAATACATTTCTTCTCTTTCAATCTCTTTGTTTTGGTGTTGAGATCTGGCGGGAAAATGTTTGGCACATTGTAAAATCTATTAGTCTTGGACCAACATGTCGTAATATTCTTTGCTTTTAAGAAATCAATATTTCATCATATTTTTGAAAAACATCCATAGGAAATGTTTAAATATACACTTCATTTCAAATTAATACAGCAGATCCTGTTTTAAAAAGAGAAAGTAAAATTGTTGATTTACAACGCGGTCTTTGTTTTAGACTATGCCTAACACTCCTACTAATTTTCTCCTGTTTTTCAGTTATATCAGAGTTTGTCACTCAGGATTGGATGAAATATTTACCCCATTATTTATAAAATTGAATTTTATGATTATTGTGCTTTTTCCTAAACATTTAGAAATCTTTATTTAATATTAAAACGCCGGCGATATGATGTTGAATATTTTTATTTAAATTGTTAGCTCCGCAGAAACGCACAGCGACTTAAAACTTTCATATCATATAACCGACCGCCTCCTGGCGGCCGGTAAAAATTTTACATTCTTGTATATTGGAACAAATTTTTATGCAGAGCAGCAAGGCCAAGGTTACACAGGTAAACATTGTGCCTGTTGGACCTTTTATTCTCTTGTGTATTCTTGATGACAAAATCTTTGTTTGGGTACCAATATTTTTTACCCCATGACCTTGATCGTGAGGTTTGACCTAGAATTTTAAAAAACTAAAACCTTGCCTATAACTTTTTCTATTGATTTCCAGAGTTCTCAATGATTTTAAACCTGTGGCACAAGACATATGCAAAATACTAATATTCATGACATTGATAGTCTTTTTATGACTGAATTTGCAAAGGAACCACAAGATAAATCAAAAAACACTTAGCCCCTTTGAAATAATATCTTTAATACACAAGTAGCTTCAATTATATGGCAAAATGGTAGTATGAATTTAATATTAAAAAGAACTAATCAATATTGTTTAAACATCTTGTAAAACAAAAATTAGATGTTTACAAAATTAAGAACAGTATACTTTGAAAAAGACCCCCGCAAACACGTAAGTACTTCTTTATAAATTGCTCACAGTTAAGCTGTATGGAATTATTGGCCTCTTAAAGACTTGTCAGACTGTAGGGGGTATTATACATTTATTGCAAGATAATGAGGGAGACATGAAGATTTCTTCACCCATGAAAAATCATATTCCCCAAGGGCAACTCTGGAAATATGATTGTTCATGGGGGAAAAAATCTTCATGTCTCCCTCACTAACAAAAAAAGTATCATGCAATAAATTGTTAATTATACCGAATCAAGCAAATGCAGGAAATATAAAGAAAACATTTAAAAAGAACAATATAAAACAGGTGTAAATTACACCACTAGTAATCCTTCTTGACAAGTCATTCTGATTTACACACTTGTAACATTCATTTCCCACACATGGAAACACTTTTCGAAATATTTATATTTTACAATTTTATATTGACATTATTAATCAATGAAATAAACAATCTGACTCAATAATAATCATCTCATTTGCCGCATCGTGACGTCACAATTGCGAAACACTACGTGAAACACGACGTTTGTTGCAGGGCAAACACAACAGTCATTTGTGTCACATTGAGGCATGTACATCACTATTATCAAAGTGTTTTATCAATATGTACATTTAGTTTGAAATTAGGGAATTTTGTATATGCTTGCAACTGAAATAACTGTTCACTTTAGAGTTCTACCAGAACTGGTGTTTACAGAACTAGTTTACAGAACTAGCACTGTAAGTGTGCTTATAGAAATAACAATACCACCACATTCTCCTTGTTTTAGGACAGAGGAAGAGGTGGCCCACCACGTAACAAGATGGAGATGGCAATAAACATGACTGGAAGAGAGCGAAGAGAATACGTGGAGTGGAAAGCAGAGAGGGACAAAGTGGACCAAGCCCGCATTGACCGTCAGAAATCAGCATCCGGAGAATGGAAACGAGAGTGGGACACCCAAAAGGACCATACTGAGTAAGGGGGTTAAAAAAAACAATACATTCAGAAAATATTGCTAAAATAGACGACCTACCTACATGTATCAACCCCATTCCAAACCAAAGAGTCAGGATACCTCAAGCCATACCATAGTTGCCAACTCACCCGATTTCGTCGGGTCACACCCGATTTTTCAACCCGTAACCCGATTATTTTTTATGACCCGGGGGGTCATGCTTATCACCTGATTTTTGCAGAACAACCCGAAAATCTCCCGATTTTCCGGATTTGGTTCGTAAATTAGGTTGCACTTTTAACTTCCAGTTACAACCCAAGCTTAGATCTAAACAATGCCGATGGATTAATTATCAGTGCAGGTGTAAACAATTAACTGGGTGTTGTTTTGACAAATCAATGTTTGAAGTCAATTAAAATGGCTTCCGATAGAACTAGATCGTTATCAGGCCCAACAGGAACAAACTGAACCAAACACATGTCTCTGATTGAACCAATTGCAAGAAAGAGGAACGATATTTATGTACATTGTACATATCAAGGAATCTTGGAAAGAAAAAAAACTATAATTCTAGATAAAATAAAGTGATCAAAGACAGTGTAGGCCTAATGTCACATTTAAAACACATTGCAGTAGTTAATTAAGAGAGAGGAAAAATAACTTCAAAACTGAAATTGGTAAACTTTCAAATTCAGCAGAAACTGAAAAGGCTTTTAAAAAAAATGCACACTTACTTCAGGTCAATACTGAAATAAAACCTTCAATTTTCATTTTAACATGTAAATTTAAATCAAATTATGTATGAATTTTTTTGTCATAGTAAATTAAATCCTTTTTCAATAAAAGAATTCTCAATACACAAATACTTTGTATATATATGTATAAAATTTAATCATAGTAAATATGCCGTGAATGTCGTTACGCGTTATGACCAGATTTTTTACTTTCCAAATCTGGTCATGACCAGATTTTTACATGCTGGAGGTTGGCAAGTATGAGCCATACATTGATATTACTTGATAATATATTCAAGGTGTTAAAAGTGTATTTATGTAATCATTCAAACTTATAAATATATGTTTTATTGTGTATTAAAATACATGTACATTGTAGATGATAAAATGTAGGAAATTTACCGCGGTATACATGTGTAACATTGTATTTCAGAGAGGCCAACCAAAGGATGGAGCCAGGAAAAAGACCAGGTAATCAAGCTGTAATCAAGCTAGTAATAGGAATAACCATGGGAAGAAAACTAACATTTAACATCTATTTATTATATTTATCTCAGAATTTTGTACAGTGTATACTTATTTGGTAAGCCTAAAAAATTCAGAAAAATGTAGTACATGTATACACAATGGTTACTGTATTTCATTGAGCATGGACATTTTTCCTCTGTGATCAATACATACACATGAGTGTGGACACGATATTACACAATGTGGTGTACTAGGTACACGTTATTATGATTTCAAATTCAGGAATCATATCAAACTAAATACATGTTTGACATGAGAACCAAAATTTTTACAAAACACCAATCTTTTTTACATTAAACATTTTTATTTGTACTGTAGGTAAACCATATTCATCTCATAGACAGCAAAACTCGTTTATAACAAAGTCACTGGGACCTATGAAGTTACTTCGCTATATCCGTAATTCGTTATAACCGCATAAGAAATTCATTAAATTTATAAAGCTGGGGATCCAAGATGACTTTGCTATATCTGTCAATTTGCAATATCCATGTTCATACTAAACAAGTTTTGCTGTACTTGTATCTGATTAGACAGCTGTTATCAGACTTTGGCTTCTAAAGTAACACACACAGAAAGCAACTTAAATCTTTTATTTTAATTGACTTGTTCTGTACTTTTGATTTAAGCTGGCCGTATTGGCAGCGGTCGATTTGATCGAGGCGACAGGGATGAACGGCCACTAGGTGAGGGCATGCTCAACAAAGCATCCCATAATTCATCTATGTATCCCATAATTCATTTTTAGTCTTCATTTACTTACACCACAATATTCTTTTATGTATTTTGTTAAAAACAAAATATCTAGTTGGGAGTAGGACACTGTTTACCCCTGTTCTTTGAGGAATGTTTGCATGTACCAGAACATGTGCAAAATGTACAAGAGCCATTTGTATGACTAGTAAATCGTAAAATTATACAGTATATATTAACCATTATATTTGGATGCAAGAATTTTTCCATTATTATTTTATTTTGCATGAGAAATTATCTTATATATATACCTTTATTTAATTGTACTTTTTTTTTGCATGAACATTTTTTATCCTTAGGATCTCAGATTTAATAGCTTTTTAACCCCTTTTGATACTGTGCAACTATTGACCTCCAATGTTTTTGCACTTTTTTTAAAAGCACAAAAATTATTAAGGTGTCAAACTCAAGACATATTTTACATTTTAAAAACAAGATGTGTTTGTGAAACACTATGCACCTGGTGGCATCAAATTTCTAAAAAACTATTTTTATACGCCCGTCTTAAGACGGGACGTATTATGTTATAGGCTTCGTGTCCGTCCGTCCGTCTGTCCATTCCTGTCCGGCTCATAACTTCAATACTTATAGGCCTAGGATTATCAAACTTTGTCAACTGATACTTCTTGGGTAGACGGTGTGTCGCGCACAAAAAGTAGGTCGCTCTGACCTTTAATTAAGATGCTATGGCCAAATATGGAAAAATCCTGTCCGGCTCATAACTAGTAAACTATTAGACCTAGAACTATCAAACTTGGCAAATGTATACATCTTGGGTAGAAGGTGTGTCGCGACCTATTTCAAGGTCACTGTGACCTTTAATTTAAGTGAAATTTTTTTAAAAACTAAGTCTTTTAAATTTTGAATTTCATAATCCTAAAAAATGCAAAATTTTAGTTGTATCCTTATTAAAAAAGTGTTAAATCAAGAAAATACTTATTTTTTTCAGCATATATACTTGACAGCAATCTATAACAGATATTATGTATGTTAAGAGAAATCCCATGTCTCCCATGAGTGTAATTATCAAGCACTGGTCAAGAGTTTTGATAACAGAAAATTGCATGTCAAATTAGAGAGAAATTAATGAGTTTAGTGTGAGGAGCAAACTGGAGACCATCGGTGTTATCTATGTCCCTTTGGGAATTGGGCAGATGGGTAAGCCTGTTGGATTGTAAATAGCTCTTGTTGGCTAGCCTAAGTTTTAAAATGATTTTGATGAAAAGTAATTAACACTAATTTGATATTGCATTATAAACTAATCTAATATTATATAATATTATTAATTTAAAAAACTAATTTCATAGGGGTGGAATCAGCATGTCCATTTTCCATAGAAATTGCATATTTAAACCTTTCTGACATTAAATGTTAAAAAAAAAATCATTGAGTATTTTATATGTTTTAAAAATATTTTATGGTAGATAGTGCAGATTCATTCATCTATAGTAATGAGAAGACAAGCATCCAGTCAAAGATTAATTAATGAGTTCAATTTAGGCTAGCTAGCATCTTCTTATCTGTATCCTTTGAGAATTAGACAGAACTGCTGGTCAGTTTAAATAGCATATGTCATTTGATGGCCTAGCCTTTTATTTTCAAAATTAATTTGGTTTAAATTAAGTTGTTAAGACTAATTTGATATTGTTTAATATGATGAGCATTTGACAATTAAGGTCTAATACAACCAGTATAGAAATCTATCAATGATGTAATTTGTTATAATTAATGCCTACACCACAGGGGATATCGATGGATAAACAAATATTTTAAGGAATAGAAAAAATCATGGAAATTTTAGAATCAAGGTTTACATGATTTTCTTGCACTCTAAACTGTTTAAGTTAATTGTAATTTTTTGACGGGCGTATCATGCTGTGGCGTGGCACTTTATTAGCATATAGTTCACAGTCAAGATCAAAAGGTCATTGACCTTGGTGTCTTTTGAAAGAACTTAATTAGTGGAGGACGCATACCAAATATGAAGTCTCTATCTCCTATGGTTCAAAAGTTTTATAGAAAGTTTGAACAAGCTGTTTTTAGTATATAGGTCACAGACCTTGATCTTTTTGATCTTGGTGTCTTTTGAAAGAACTTAATTAGTGGAGGACACATACCAAATATGAAGTCTCTATCTCCTATGGTACAAAAGTTATGTTGAAAGTTCGAAAAAGCTATTTTTAGCATATAGGTCACAGTCAATGTCACAAGGTCCTTGACGTTGGTGTCTTTTGAAAGAGCTTAAGTATGCAAACCAAATATGAAGTCTCTATCTCTCATGGTTCAAAAGTTATGGCAAAAGTTTGAAAAAGCTATTTTTAGCATATAGGTCACAGTCAAGATCACAAGGTCATTGACTTTGTTGTCATTTAAAAAAGCTTAATTAGTGGAGCATGCATACCAAATACATTAAAATTCTCTATCTCTCATGGTTCAAAAGTTATGGTGAAGGTTAAAGTTGACAACATACAGACAGACAAACAGAGAGGACAAAAACAATATACGCCTCAGATCTATCAATCCGGGCGCATAAAAATGCAGTGCATACCAGTACATGTATTGAATTATAATGCTTGTTTAACTGAATTATTTGTCAAGTTATTTTCAAAATTTTTTTTTATTTTGAATTGTTAGTTCTTCGACACTTAAAAAGGATCCTTTTAAATTGTACTTTTAAGTATAAAGTACAAGTGTACAAGTGGAATTATGTATATTATTATTAAGTTTAGCTCACCTTTAAAAAGTCAGATAGAACGTGCAATAACAACCCCCACCCTACCCCCATTAAACAACATTAATTTCAGCATTCTTTTCAAAAAGCCATATACTTGAACCATTATAAGGTGGGTAATTTCCCAATGTATCTTATGACATTTGCCAGTTAAACCCATCTAAAATTATAACTTCGAAATGCTTCAGTTCTTAAATGTCTTATGATGAAATTGGGTGATGAACATTTGTATATGGCATTTTTCTCAACAAGAATTTTATCAATTATGATGTATTGAATTGTTCTATATGTGATTGTAAAAATAGCAGAAAAAAGTTGTCTAGATGTGATAATAAAAGAAAAAGTTAGTGCATGTTTAAGGAATCACTGTCTAGTTAGTATAGTATGCCAGGGCATCAACAATAGTGGGAAACATGGGATAATTTGCATAATGGGCAAAGCCGGTTATGCATAACCTGTTATGCATAAATTATCCCATGTTTCCCACTATCTTTGATGTCCCTGGCATACTATACTAACAAGACAGTGATTCCTTATATTTCCATTTCATTATGAATTAAAATTGTAGATTTAGACTTTAAAAATGTAGACATAGATTTAAATTACACGAGGACTCCCATGCCAATTTCAATGGTCCTCGCCCACTTATGTCAAACACAAAAATGGCTGCACGAGATTTACATGCATATTTGGCCTCCTTAGCGGCAGACACAGAGACAGATGCGCAAGAGATTTGCATGCGTATTAGGCCTCCTAAGCTCTTGACCTATCGACCTGCCTAATTTACATTACGGTAGAATTATCAAGAAGTTAACATTGCTACATCTTCGCTAGCCAAGGGTTTCTGATACGCTACTCTCCTCATAAACCCTTGGTGAAGTTAAAAGACGGGATTGTTTTCCGTCACGTGATCTCGAATCTATCAGGTACGCACAGATTGCGTCATCGCCAGAAATAAAGACACGTGTTAAAAAAAATTAAATCAAAGTTTTTTTCAAGAATAATTAAGAAGCAATAATTGAGTTATGTTTATTCATTATTTATAGAACAAATCTGAAGCTTCAATATAGATTCTTAATCACATATTTAGAAGATATTGGATGACACCATGGCTATTCATAGAATTGAATGTTATCTTACGGATTGTTGTTTTCTTGTGTTTTTCATTTCCGAGATTAAAGAGTGAAGATGTATCCCGAACGCAAATTTCGTCATTTACAAAAAACAATTGCTGATTGGTCGACCTGGGTGTACTGAAATCCAATCAGAACTCTCGAAAAAAATCCCGATTTCTATGAACACCGTAGGCCAAGGGTTTATGAGGAGAGGAGCGTATCAGAAACCCTTGGCTAGCGAAGATGACATTGCTAACTTTCAAAGGAGAAAAGTTTCACAGAGAAAAATATTAGAAATGGAAATATTTAAGTATGACTCGTTGCTTGGTTAGACTGATCAAGTAACTTTTAGTGGTGCATTCTGTTTAGCGATTTTGGCAGAAAGCAGATCCTGCTAAATCAAGCACATTGCTAAATTTCTTGTACATCATAGATTTACATCTAGCACATTGAGATAGCGCTAAATCAAATTATGCTAACTTATTGTAAAAATTATTTCCTCCAGCTATCAAAATACGTTTATAACATTTCAATATAAAATATTATAAGCAATAACAAGAAATAAATAACTTTGCATTTCACTTTCATTAGGATTATGTTTTGTATATGTTTGTATAGGAAACTGTAGGTCTGTAGCTCATGGAAATTAGATAATGAATGGATGACTATTTTGTCCATCCCCCTTTTTCCTCAGATCACTGAGCTTCAGATTAGCAGCTAGTATTAAAATTAATCAGATGTAACTACATGAGGGGCTTGTATTTCATGTATTAGTCAAATGATATACAGTCATATCAAATTAACACTAATTTCTACCTGCTGAGATAAAAATCTGGTATTGTAATATATGGAAGTTTTTGGAACTTGTGTCCAGTCCCTTTGACGTTGTCAATAAAATATGTGCAAAACAAAAATCTGGCAGAGCACATTGGCATAATTGTCATACAAGACAATTCTCAAATGGAATCTGCAAAAAAAAATTTTCATTCGGAACAAATATTCATGCAAATAAAATTTATTTGTTCATAAATAATGCCTCCCTACAGGATCTTTTTGAAATGTATATTTTAATTCTGAACTAGTATTAATTCATAAAGCTTTTTAGCTAATTAGTAGCAAGAAAAAGCTTGTCAATCTTCCAATGTATGACAATTTTGCAACAAATCTAGTAGGAAAAAGGAGAAACCATTGAAAAAGTACCGGTAAATATTGATAACAAGAGGCCCAGGGGCCACATCACTCACCTGAGCAAATCGGAATCAGATCAGAACTGAAAAGTTTACTGAAAGGAGGGGGGGGGGGGGGCTTGAATTTTAATACTCTTTTAGAATGCCTTCATATTAATACAGCATATGACTTTGCTGTTCTTGATACAAAAATTTTTTTAAACCATTTTCTCCCTATATGTTACTTCGTAATACTTTAAATTTGTTTCCCCATTGTTTCCCTCCCTACCCTAATGGGCCATGATTTGGAACAAATTTAAATCCTCAATAGATGAGGATACTTACATGTCAATATGACTAAACATAGCTTTTCTGTTCTTGGGATTTTCCCCAATATTTTTCTATGTAAATCTTTGATCCACCGTTGTGGCCCTACCCTACCCTTGGGGGTTATGATTTGAACAAATTTAATTCTTCATTACCTGAAAATGCTTCCATATAAATACTGGTATCACTACTCATGGCTTTGCTATTCTTGAGAAGAAGATTTTTCAAAATATATTTTAATGTAAAACTAGAATCCCCCATTGTGGCCCCAGCCTATCCCTTGGGGTTAAGAATTTGAACAAACTAGAATCTACACTACCTGAGGATTATTCCATATAAATATCGCTAATCATGGCTTGAAGTACTTGAGAAGAAGATTTTTAAAAATGTTTCCTATATATTATTATGTAAAACTTTGATCGGCCATTGTGGCCCCACCCTAATCCAGGGGTTCATGATTTGAACAAACTTGAATCTACACTACCTGAGGATGCTTCCTCACGAGTTTCATCTTTCCTGGCCCAGTGGTTCTTGAAAAGATTTTTAAAAAAAATTTCCTATATATTCCTATATAAAACTTGAACGGCCATTGTGGCCCCACCCTAACCCCGGGGGTCATGATTTGAACAAACTTGAATCTACACTACCTGAGGATGCTTCCACATGAGTTTCATCTTTCCTGGCCCAGTGGTTCTTGAGAAGAAGATTTTTAAAGATATTTCCTATATTCTCCTATGTAAAACTTGGATCAGCCATTGTGGCCCCACCCTACCCCCGGGGGTCATGATTTGAACAAATTTGAATCTACACTACCTGAGGATGCTTCCACATGAGTTTCATTTTTCTGGCCCGTGGTTCTTGAGAAGAAGATTTTTTTAAAATGCCATTAATTTTTCACTATTTCATAATTATCTCCCCTTGGAAGAGGGTGTGGCCCTTCATTTGAACAAACTTGAATACCCTTCACCTAAGGATACTTTGTGGCAAGTTTAGTTGAAATTGGCCCACTGGATCTTGAGAAGAAGATGAAAATGTGAAAAGTTTGTGACAAAGAACTATATGCGGTATTAACCAACATTTGCCCCCCAAAATCAAACTTTGATGGAGTAATATTTAATTAAGTCCTTAAACAGGGGAGTATATGCTGACTTCAAAGCACTGAATAATTTCATAAGTCATGACGTCATATGTACGTAATGACGTCACAAATATGACGTAAATTTCAGTTTTTTATGAATTTTGCAGAAAAATGTACATATGTCGTCGATATTTTAAATTCACCGAGCGCATGTGTGTTCAGGATTATTTTGATATAATGTGTAGAATGATAATATCAATGAAATATGTCAATATTGTTCCTGAACACACATGCGCTCTATAAATTCTAAAGCTTAAATTGTTGAAATTTTGTCCATTTTGTCCTCTTTCTGAAAAAGGATATAAAATCGGACTAGTTTGTGACGTCATAAAAACAGAAATTGTGAATACACTGCTCTGGAACTATAATATTTTCTGTTAACTTATATTTCTCGTACAATTTATTGAATTCAGCACATTTCATGAAGTTTTCAAAATTTGACTTTTGTGGGGGCAAACATATGCAATATACCGCATATAGTTCTTTTGATGAGAAAAGCTCACTTGAGCCTTTGGCTCAGGTGAGCTAAAAATACAAACAAATTACATTTCTTATAAGTTGGCAGATTTTCAAGAGGAAAACATTCTTTTGATTTTGATAGAGTTGAGAAAACAGAAAACATCTTTATTTGTATCAGAAGACTGAAAAAAATGTTGGGGTATTATGTTTATACTGTTTAAGAATAAAGCCTTATACCATTGTAATGTACATTTACTGGTATTTAATTTTTTCTCATTTTTTATTGTTTCATAAGAGCATAAAATCCGTACAGTTTGTGTGCTTTATATGTTTACTTTCTGGTGAAGAATTTAAAAATTATTTCTTCAGGACCTGGACGAAAGGATTCCAAGGAATCTGGAGGGAAACCTCAGCCAAATGGAGTGGGACAGGAACATTCTGTGGAGAAAGATGCTGCAGTCCATCGTCCAGTCGGAAGGGGTCGGGGAAGAGGCAGAGCTCGCAACAGGGGTAGTGGCACTGGGAATGATCCAGGGCGGGTGAGGACGTATTCAGGAGAGGACAGACATGTTGAATGCAAGAAGGACCTGCTGGTCATTAAGGTAGATAACACACCAGGGACAAAGTCAGACCAGGTGGAAGTGGAGTATTCTGATGGAGAAAATGAAGCACATAGTGGAGATCACACTGCAGCTCACCACAAGAAGGCAGGGCCACATGCTGAGGAACTGTGGTGGGATGAAGAAGGGGATGATATAGGGCTGGAGTTGCAGGGAATCCCAGCTGAAGATGATATTTTTGAGCAGAAAGACCTGTTTAATGATTATCATGGGGAAGAATATGATAAAAATGGCCATTTTGAGGATGCTCCAGGACAAACGAGCCAGGGAGATGATGATGAATGGGAGGACTGTACAACAAGTGAAGACTTCTCTACTGATAGAAGTCAGAGTCAGACATCAGTATCAGATGATTTGACCTCTTCCCTCAAGGTCAATCTTAATCCTGATGCACCTGTCTTTACTCCAGCTTCACCAACATCACCCAGCCCACTGGCAGCAAAGGTCAGTAAAGAACCAAAGACTGAAAAGGCATCACCTAAAGAAAAAAAGACAAAAGAGTTAAAAGTTGGAGAGGGAAAACTCCCCCAAAATAAAGAGGAAAAAGCCCCACTGGACAGCAAAAAGGAGAAAACTGAACATTCCAAGAGTGACACAGGTCACTCTGACTCTAGAAAGGCAGCCACAAAGCCTGAGGAGTCTACATTAGCTTCCTCTGAGGAGGAGCTCAAAGGTGAGGTATCGGAGAAACCAGCAATGGCTGACTCCCTTACCACACCAGAGGAACCTGCTGTAAAGGCAGACACTAACCCTGATGATAAGGGTCAGTCTGAGGAAACTCAGACTCTGGTCGATCCTCCCACAGATACGCTGCCTAAAGAAGAGGCAGATCAAGATGACACCAAGAAGGATATTCAAAGTGAGAATATAGATGAGGAGAAACAAAAACCTGAGGTTAACGATGAAGAAGATTCTCACAGTGAAGAAGCAGAAGATGTCACTGAAGATAATATCTTAGGTAAATTGTTTGTCTAGGTTTTTTATGAGGTGTATGTTTTCTCACTTATATTTTATATATAAAACTGAAAGATTTTGTTTAATTATTGTTATAACTATTGACAATTTTTTAGAGAAAGATGAGAGGGAGGATAAAGAAGCCACACCGACTCCCCAGAAAGAGGAGGAAAGTGCTCAAGCCTGAACTGCTCGCTGTCACTAGCCGTAAGTGTCTTGTGTGAGGTTTTCATTGTTAGGGTTATCCCTCTTTGTACAGAAGTTACTGTGTAATTTGACCAATGAATTAATACATGTAGTAAGGTTTTATGTCCATTTAATATCATTTAATACTCTGTTGAAGTCTTTATAGTTTACAGGTTTTAAATTGTAGCAGTTTATTTATTCTTAATTATGTCGCCCCGAACGAAGTCGGAGGTGATTGCGATTGTACGCATGTTTTTGTTCTACAGGCTGTTTCTCGCAAGATGGCTGGGACAATCTTTCTGAAACTTTCCTCAAAGGAGGATCACTGGTTGTAGTTGTGTTGTGTGGTCATTCAGTTTCAAAATGGCTACCGTTGCCATGGAACCTGCAAAAAGCGACTAATTTTAATTGTCCAAGAGTGTTCTCTCTGGTCCCTTGGACATTCGTCATGAAACTTTATTGATTTAATGATTAGTGTCTGTTATTGTGCGTGTTGCATGTAAAAATTGCAAATTGTCAATAGTAACCATGGAAACAGGGAAAAAGTGAAAATTCTTTAACTTTGATTCTTAAATCAAATTACCGTAAGGACTGATACGAGTAGATGGTTAGCTAATGGGTATTGTTTCAGTGATGAAAAAATGAAAGTCTTGTCCAGTTCGGGGCAACATATGCTATTGCTTGCAATAGCAGACTTTCTAGTTCCAATTTGCTTTTGCTACTGTCATCAAAATACAACTTTACAGTGTACATTTAAATTCAGTTTATGAAAGAAATGTTCAAGCAAATGCACATGTGCAATATTTACCAGTTAAATTAACTTAATCATTGTCATATGTATACCTAATACTGGATTAAAAGAAAGAACCAAAAAGCATGGTCATTCAGAATACATTGTTAAAATATTTCGATATATACATGTACTTACACTCCATGTTTGGGAGATGGTGTGTTTGAATTTTGGCTGCGACTGTCCTAAGTTGATAAAAAATGGGTAGCAACTGTTCCTTCACTGTGTACTCAGTGCTTGAAGTGAAAAATTTCCTTCGGATGAGACCTTTAAAAAACGAGGTCCATTGCAATGGCAGGCATTGGCACAATAAAGATCCCTCAATGGCACTGAGTGCCGAGTAAAGGTCAAAATTTGAACTTCTTCACCGGTATATGGTGACGTGTTTACCTGATTAAAAAAATCTTGAATGGGACGTAAAACAACATATCAATTAATCACTTCAGACATCTAATACACTGCTCAGTTCATTTTTTTTTTCACATGAATCTGATTTATTTTTTAGATTCAGGCTTTTGAAGACGAGACAGCGATCATTTCCATTTTCGTCAACCATCCTGCAGGTGGTTTAATTTTAAGAGACATAACAACTTTGGGAGATATTATAGGTCATATGAAGTAAATATAACCTTCATTAGCAAATAGAAATAGGATAGTGTTAACTAAAAGGTATGTTTTTAATGTTCTGTTTCATAGAAGCAATAGATACATACTTGTATGTATTATTCAACTACTTTTATGTACAATCATTGTGATTTTACTGGGAAAGGTTAAAACTTTTGTGTAAGTTTGAATCACTACTGAAATATATAATCAGTATAGTAGAATACAATATGTAGTTGACCGTTAAAAATCTAATATTTGCTAATGTATCTTGGTTCACTTATAAAATTGTCATTTATGATTTAATTTTTCCCTTAATTGCATAGTGTGTTGTTCGAGATATAAGAAGTTGCTTTAGTCCACTTTCAATTATGGGAAAAAGGGAAGAAGGCATTGTCCATTCAAAAGAAAATGACCTAGAGAATTTGTTAACAGGTATAAGATTTTGTTGTTTTTTTTTAAGCTTTACCTAGACTGCCAATGATAAGAAAATACCTTTAGTCCTTTACTCTGGGTATTATTTTTTTAATTTTAGTGTAGAACTACAATTGACTACTGTGTTTATAAACTTGATGATGTGTTTTTAAATGTAATGAAGGAGGGAAAAGGCCTATGACTTTTACACATTTTTTTCCCATAATTTTTTACAAAAAAGTTTTATTGAATACATTTGTATTTTGTACTATTTATAATTAAATGTTTGTCAGAACATTGAACAAAGGAAGATGGGAAAACGAGTATTTAGAATATAAAAATAGATTTGGGAAATTCTTAATGACAAAAAAGGATTGAATATTTGATAATAGGCATGAAGAATTTCTTGATTGGTGCAAAGATGTAAATGTTTGTGAAAAACAATGCTTTTTTGTAATTTGACCTTTTGAAGCTACTCGTTGTGTGTTTGATGAAGTGTTTGATAATGTCACAAGTGACATGTTTAATGTGTATTGGTGCTTTTATTGCATATCAGTTTTAAAAGATAATTAGATTATAACTTCCTTAAAGTCATCAATTAATTCATTTTTGATGAACTTTTTTTTAATTTAAATAATATTTTTATTTGAAATGGTTTAATATCCATGCTTATTATTTATTGAAAATCTTGTTAGTAATATATATATTGTTGAATCACATGGTAGTGATTTTAGTGTGTTTATTCCCTCCAGTCCGTTGTATGTCAATAATTAGGATTCAAATTAATGTTCAAGAATCAGCAATTTCTGTTCAGATTTTGATTTTGTTTAATGTTGGTGTGTTTATTTAATAAGATGAATGACATTTTTTTTGTGCATCAATAATTTTTATTATACATGTACTTATTTTATATTCAAATTAACAACAGATATTTGCATTTAAAAAAACAACAAAAAAAAGTGTAAAATGTATATGAAAAAAAAACAACAACAAACCAAAAATAGGTATATATAAACATAAGGAATTTAGCATTGATTCACATCTCTATCACTTTAAAAATGGTGAGAATGGCTGACCAATAAACAATCATTGTCCACATGCAGTGGTAAGTGTAGGGTTGAATGTTATTCCCTGTATTAAATTTGAATCCTTTTGGCAACATCTAAAAAAAAATGATAAAATTTTATGATTTATTTTATTGTAATTAAAAAATTGAATACAGTTTGGTCAGCCTTACCATGGGAAACATTCCCGATTTTTTCATTGATTTCATTTCTGTAATAATTATTGTTTTGCTGAAATGAATTAGATGTATATGAGTTGGAAAACTAAAAACTAAGTGTAATCGCATGATCAAACTTGCCATATGAGATTCATTATAATGGTTTTTATTATACAATAAAAAGTCAGCCTCATACTATTGCTTAGTCTTTGTTGTTTATTAATGAAGGGTTTCTATATTGCTGACTGCTAATGAACAATTTATTTTACAAGTTCTTTGGGTCTGTCTTTTTTCTCTGTTTTTAGGGAGGAAATTTTTCAAAATCATGTTTTCATGATGTTAAATATTTTCAATGTTCCAAACAATCAAAATGAATTTGAATTATCATACCTATACTGAATTCCAATACTCCATTAAAATCCTTACAAAGATACATAGCTGATTCCAGTAAATGTTTAACCAAGCCCTCACTAAAATAATCAGAACTGTGAAGGGGAAACTTCAGAGTTCTTTACAATAGTAATTTGAAAAGTGATTTTAATCAGAGTTGGATGCTCAAAATATCTAAAGCAAGAAGCCCAAGGGTCTTGAATTGCTCTTCTGATGAATTGTACGACCTATCACTTCTTTTTTGAAGCCTCTGAGTATCCTGTATAATGAGATTCTTGAAGAAGGCCACAGTGACCCACTTTTGGTAAACATACACCAAGACCCCAAAATGACAAAATTTTATGATTTTAAGACTAAGTATTTGAAATATGTAGATATCGCCTTTGAAATTCCATAAATATGTCACCATGACCGAAATTGACATTCTGGGGAGCATGAAATTCTAAAAGTAGGCTACTTAGTATTCGAAATATTTAGATATTGCCTTGAAATTCCAAAAAAAGGTCACTGACTCAATGTTACCTACTTTTAAGTTGATCGACACATGCTTGGGACCCAAGATGAATCAACTGACAAAGTTTGACGATTCTTAGCCAATTAGTACCTGAAATCTTCAATTTCAAAAGTAGATCATTGTGACCTACTTTTCAGATGACATTCTCTGAAGACCAAAATGTGCAAAAGATGATTGTAAACCAATGAGTAACTGAGATATTTAAATTAGTCATTAAAATTTTTTTTTAAATGGTCACATTGACCTATTTTTTGGTTGACATGCTCTTAAGACCAAAGATGCATCAATTGACAAACTTTTTTGATTCTAAGCCAATAAGTATCGGAGAGATTTGAATATAGCGATACGATTTAAGAGTAGGTCACGGTGATCTACTTTTTGGTTGACACTCCGAGTACTCAATTCAAGAGGCATTTACTGAAAAAGAGAGATTAATGATTCCAAGCCATTTAGAATCTTAGACAAATACAGACCAGAAAAATCAAACGTAGGTCACGGTGACCTATTTTTATTTGATATATTTAGAGGACCCAAGATTCATCAACTGAGGAAGTTTGATAATTCTTATCCATTTAGTATCTGAGATAGATGAATATAGCCATTAAATTTCATAAAGAGGTCACAGTTATCTACTTTTTGGTTGACTTTCTCTGAAGACCCAAGATACATCAACTGACAAAGTTTTATGATCATACATCTCAAATTGTCCAAAATATGCCTCAAAGAATTTGAAAACGAATGTCTGCAAAATTCAAAAAGTATGTCGCTTAAATTTAACCATCTTTTTGAAAAACATTTTTAAGGCCCAAAGATGCATCAACTTACAAAGTTTGATGATTCTAAACCTCTCGGTATTGAAAAAATGGCAACTCAATAAAATTATTAAAATTAAATTTTTTGAAAAAAAGTTCTTAACATTCAAAAAGTAGGTCAAGGTGACCTACTTTTAAGCTGTCTTTGCCCAAGGACCCAAGATGCATCAAGTAGCAAAGTTTGATGACCATAGGCATTAATACATGTTTGTCCAAAATATGCCTCCAAATCATTTTGAAAACATATGTCCGCAAAATTCTAAAAGTAAGTCACTGTGACCTACTTTTGAGTCAGTATGATATGACGCATCAAATGACAAGATTTGATGCTCTTACTCCTTATAGAAAGCAAAATATCAACCTTTGAATAAAATGTAATTTTTAGTCAACTTTGAAGTGACGTTGAGACCACGCCCTTTACCCAAGATGATGCCTTGAACAAATATATTTATATTAATCTACAACATATCCTCATCCTTGTGTTTAAGTTTAATGATGGTCTGCCCACTCGTTCTTGAAAGGAAGATTTTTTGATAACCTGTACTTTTGGTCTGATTTACCTGATTATCTTCCCTTATTTCATGGCGACACCCTAGTTTTAATACAAATGGGGGTCCTTGAGCCAAGGATACCCTGTCACAAAATTGACAATAATTGGCCTAAGGGCTCTAGAGTTATGGCTCATATTCTAAAAAAAAATTACGCACATCGTACAAATGACCAAAACATAATCTCTTTAGGCCTTTTCCTCAGATGAGCTAAAAATCCAAAATCACAAATTTTACCAAAATCAATAACACCAAAACATACCACTTTTTTAGCCCACCTGAGACGAAGGCTCAAGTGAGTTATTATGATCAAAATTTGTCCGTTGTCTGTCGTCGTTGTTGTTGTAAACTTTTCACATTTTCATCTTCTCAAGAACCACTCGATCAATTTCAACCAAACTTACCACAAAGTATTCTTGGGTGAAGGGAATTCAAAGAACGAGGGCGCTTTTGATTGGCATTCGACAGGAATCTAGGCGTAATTGAAAAGTGAAATTTTTATCTACATGTCACATGAAATTTTAACATCATTTTTATTTATCGGGTTCCTGTGCAGCAAGAAAGGAAAATATTTCCCCGAAATTGAGCTTTGATCTGCTAAAAAATAATTTGAAAATTGGCCAGATCAGACATTTGGTACAAAATGATACATTTTTAAGCACATTTTTCTAAGATTTTTCTATCTCTGGGTCTTCTCTCCATGATTTTCAAACGTTATTTGTGTGTATTTTAATTCAAAGAAACGAATACACATTTTTAAAAAATGGAGAGAAGACCCAGAGACCACAAAAAATGAACTTTTCCCCAAAAAATCCAAATGTGTGAATGTGCTGCTTCTTTGTCCCTTTTAGATCATCTGTATATTCGTAGCGGTGATAGCTCAGTAAGTAGGGCTACCTGTTCTGTGCGCTCGAAGTAAGCATTTTTTGGTTCGAGTCTGGCACTGGGCGCTAATTTTTTTTTTTCATGCAAACAACCATTTGTTTTGTTAGTTTCGTTTTATGTACTGATGCATTAAAATTTTGAACTAGATAAATTTTGGTTCAGTTTGGTTCTCGAGCGAAATCAATTCCAATCTTCTATTCTATAATGTACATGTACACACGTATCATGCATCTATGCATTAAATATTTTTATAGGTGTTTATATTTTGTGAAACATTACTATATCATAGTACTCCCTAAGAAATACGGACATAAATGTTAACAATCTCACAAGGTCTTTCAAACTAAATGAAAAAAACCCCTATGGACGTGTTTGCAAAATCTGACCAGCTATGTTCAGCCAACCAAATCATGGATATTTAAACCATAAATGTTTCGTACAAATGATTCCTGCAGATCACACGCCAAATGCGCCCATCTTCTTTGTTCAAATGAATGACCACGCCTTCTTCCAAGGGTAAATAATTATGAATTGCTTAAAAATTAATGGCATCTTTTATAAATCTGCTTAATAACCACTGCATAGGTCAGGAAATATGAAACTCATGTGAAAGTATCATTACCTTTGTTCAAACCATGAACACCCCCTGGGAGGGGGGGGGGATAGGTTTTGGGGCCACAATGGGTGATCAATGTTCTTCAGAGGAATACAAGGAAAATTCTATCAAAATAATCTCGAGAACAGCAAAGCTGTGATTGGTCATATTTACACTTTTCAATACTTAAACTGATTTATATTCTGCTTTTCCTAGCCAATGTGCTCAGGTGAAAGATGTGGTCCCTGCCTGGGCTTCTTGTTAACACTTCCTTATTTAATTAATTTCCAAAGTTATGAAACTATATCAATTGTTCATCTACAAACTTTTTTATATAAAAATCAAAAAAGGTTCTATATAAAAGCACTTTTATGTTGGTTATCAATCTCTTGGAAATGTAATGACTACTTACTTCAGTTACAATTGTATTAGCGACTTTGTATTCAAATGAAATAGAATTTATTCAAAAACTTCTGTATGTAAAGGTCTCTTGGCCTTTAAATCATTCACATTTACGTATATCCACGACGTTTTATCAATTTTCATTCTTACGTTTGATTCTTTATACCCTTATTTCGGTAGGTAAGTACTCGACACATTTTTCTCAATTTGGATACTCAAAACCAACTTTTATTCGCGTGCGAGAATTTTTCGCAAGGTTCGCGATAGCCTTCTCATCGCGAATATTTCTCGCCGCGAACCGGTCCTTAATTATAAGGTCTCTGTGTCTATAAACAAGTTCCAAAAAAGGATCTCGAAAATTAATCGTTGCAAACTAGTTTACCCCCGGTAGATCGCGAAATAAAGTCGTCGTGAATGAAATAGTACTTTACTAGAGAAAGGCATGGATGGCATATTAACAAAACATAATAAAACATATTAGGCGTAAAATCAACTTCTCTTTTTATTGTTACACGATCACATTATCACCTACATTAGGAGTTTGTGTTTCGCAATCGATTGGATACCATAGATCATGTTCTTCGTGCAAACCCTTTCTAAACGAGTCAAGCTACTGTCATATAAGTTGATTATACAAAGATATTTACTGCCTCCATGGTTGATACTATATGTATTACCTTATCAGCAAATAGCTGTTTTTCATTCAAATTGTTATGCCTTTTGTTCATACTGGATGGTCATACTAAATGGTCACCGAACGGATTATTTTGTTTACCTGATCATGAAAAGGACACGCTGCAGGATGCCCAGTTAGCAGAGGACACTTACCCCTCTATGGCATGCTTTTGAAATTTAGTGGCTGCTTTGCTTCAAAGATTCGTGATTGCTCTGTTTCCAATTTTGTATTAATTGTATCAACTAATAATTTAACTTATTAGCTTGATTGCCGTTCATTATATGCATTGTTTCAATGGACTGTTGTTCTTGATAAGAAGATATTTGTTATATATCATCTTATATTATTTTAATCATTTATTCCAAGCTCTCTGATTGG